GCATGCATTTAAAAACCCAGTCGCATCAGAGTGGCAGTTAGAACTGGTACAGATTTTCACCTGGAAGAATGCGCCTAGACATGAGAGAGGTCGAAAACAAGTGACCCCTTCACCCAGAACTGCTGCTGCTTTACCGTTTAATTTATCTGTGCAGGGGCTGTACCCACAAAGTGCCCAGCACCCTCTTGGCATGATGGAAGTACAGACATCAGTAGCAGTGGCTGGTGGCGGAATTGTAGAATCATGAAACGCAGTTATTCATTTACAACACCTCCCAGCTTTCTGCCTGTGACAGGAATTCCATACGGCCCGTCACTCTTGCACACAGACTATCTGGAGTCATTTTCCACCAGGCCTTTTTAAAGGTCTGTTGCACACTCGGATCTTGCCGAAGTGAAAGCCGCAAACTGGCTTCTAAGGTATAGTGGCCAGGGGTGAATTCTGGGGTCTGATTTTTTTTCAAAGGTGCTGAGTACCTGCATCGTTCACTAATTTCACTTGGAGTTTGGGGTGCTCATTACCTCTGAAAACCAGGCCTTTTATTGTAGATAACGGACACCTCACTGGCTTATCTAGATCAAAGATGTGTTTGTTAAGATAATGCAGGGAAAGGGGAGAACAGCTTAGAAATGCCAAAGATTGAACAATAAGATTCTCGTAACATCCAGGGGTCTTAAAGGAGCATTCCCAAAGCTGTATTCAAGAAAAGCAGAATTCGCCTGCTTGTAGGTGCTGTGCTAGCCTCAGCACGCGACCGTTCTCCTCCGCCTTCCCAGCTGGGGCGCCTTGGCAGAAGGGAAAGCACCTCACAGTTCATATGGTCCTGTAAGAGAGGAGACGGTGGACTTCTCCATTCCTGGAGAAACCCCAAGCTAGAAAGAGGTCCCCCCTTCCTGCAGCGCATGTACATACTGGATGCAGCTGAGCTTGGGAAATAGGAAGCAGGGAAGGCTGTTCGGAAGTTCATGGAACTTAATAACCTGTGAAGGTTTCTCTTGCAATTGATGTATATAATTGACTGATGAATCCAGTGTTGAGAGGTTTCATACACACTTTGCAAAATATTAATGATGATAAACCCAAACATAAATCCCCGAAGCAGACAGTTTACATGACACCATGCTACCCCTGGAGGATGTACTGACTCCAGCCCCTCGCGGTGGGGAAGGACCTTCTCTGTATGAATGCCCCTGAAGTACCAGGCACACCTATTGTGTAAATCTGTGGGTCTCCGTGGAAGTCAATGGAACTGTCAGTCATTTACAGAGAAGTCTGTTTTGGGTAATGTTAACTTTGTCCTTGACATAGGAGGTGACTAAACATCCATCCCCTCCTGGGATTGTACCGAATTGCTATATTAAAGGGACTCTCTTTGCACTTTTGCAGAATGCTGTGTTCTCCCCCAACCCGCTGCTCTCCAGCTGCCCTGCGAGGTTATGCCCTTTATCCTTTGGCGAAGGAGTTGAGTTTGACCCTCTGCCACCAAAGGAAATAAGGTAAATACAGCATTACAATCAGTTAGTGTTTAAACTTCCCCTTCCCAGGGGCATAGGAAGCAGTAAAGATTTAACAGTTACTGTGCAAAGGAGCAATAGGATTTATCAATGTGTGCCTTCGATGCAAGCTCAGTTATTTGTAGGACTGTATAGTTCCACCCAGCCAGTACATTCCTCCACTTATGCCTTCACCCAGCCCTTTGCAAAGGAGTGTTCTGTCTCCTTTAACCACCTCGAAGAAGAATTTTCAAGGGAAGGCTTCCCCTGTCTCTTTATTATGCTTCTTAGTTCATTATACAGCTGCTAAATCTTGGGTTCTGTTTAATAACTGGAAAGGTAATCATGAGCAAAGATCTTCAAAGGGAGTAGCTTTCTAAAGGGTTGTTTTATTAGCGGAAAGGAATTCCACTTTCCTAAGCTGATGGTTTTATAGCAGAAGGTTCTATCTTATCAGCAAGAGGTAATCCTGTGAACTGGAGGGAAAAGCTAATATTTCGAGATGTGGAATTTTTTTAATACACTGCCTCAGTTCATAGTATGTGAATTATTCCTTTGGACATAATTTTGCAGTAAAAAGGAACAAAGTTTCCCTTTCTATAGGCATAAGTAGAACGATCATATTGATCAAACAGCACGCTGATAGGAGGATTTAAAAAATTTTCACTAGTGTTGACAAAGGACCCAATCCTGAGGTTGGAATTGACGCTTGGTACCATGCAGGATCAGGCCCGGTGTGAAGCTGAGAGGGAAAATCTTTTTCGGTGCACACCGGCTTCCAGTCCCATCTCATATTACCAACCCAGACATTCTTGATATTCATTTTCATATCAGAAATGCTCAATACACGAATTGTATTATTTTTCGGCCAGTCGAGTCCATGGTGGTTTTTCTCATGGAAACAAGTGGGTATAATTGTATTTGCCTTGGCTGATGACCCCAAGGATGGGGAAGGATAAAGAACTCCCACAGGACCCTTGATGGATAAGAATACAGAAAACAGCATCTGTTTCCATGGGAGCTGCAAGGGGTCAACAGCTATGACAATCAGGCCACAGGGAGTTTAAATGGATCTAGGTGCCTGGTTGGGCTGCCAGAGTCTGAAAAGGATTGTTTAGGCCCCACCAGGCTCAGAAGATAGTTAGACTGATGGCATTTCTGGAAATTCCAATAGAAAAGGAGATCCTGCCTAGAGCTTGTGCTTGGACAAACAATGAAAACGCCAGGCGGGCTACAAGCAGAAGGTGGTTTTCCTCTCCCCTAAATGGAAAGAGAGAGATCAGTGGGAAAATATATATTTTAAATAAAAAAAGCTTTGGACTAGGAATCCTAGTGTTTATCCAGCACTTTTCATCCATGGATCTCAAAGCACTTGACAAAGGAGATCAGGATTGTCAGCCCCACTTTACAGATGAGGAAACTGAGGCCCAGAGAGAGGAAGTGGCTAGCCCAAGGTCATATGGCTGGGAATGGAATCCCTTGTGCCCTAGCTAGGAGATCACCCTGCCTCCCATAGTGTCTTTGGCTAGCTACATTTCCCAGTGAGCACTGGCCGCTGGAGCGAAGTGAGATTCACACTAGGGTCTCTCTTGTGTGTTTCAGGTACACCTCCTCGGTGAAGTATGACTCAGAGAAGCACTTCATCGATGATGTCTATATGCCTGTGGGGTTAGGCATTTCCTCGTGCAGCCAAACGGTTGTCTGCATCCCTGATTGCACATGGCGCAGTTACAAAGCCGAGGTCCACTTTGAGCCTCGGAACAAGCCCCTGCGTTTCGCCAGCACCACCATTGTCTACCCAAAGCACACCAAAACTGTGTACACCACCACTCTGGATTACAACTGCAGGAAGTCCATGCGGCGGTTCTTGTCCAGCATAGAGCTGGAGTCTGCAGAATACCCTGGGAATGATTACCTCCTGGATGGCTGCTGACTGACACCTGTCTCTCTTGCTATGATCCATCCTAGTTCCTTTCTACTGTACTGTACTAACTCTCCACTAGCTAAAGTGGGTAAAAAAACCTAATTGCCCAGTCACTCTAAGGGAACCTTACCTGTCGCTACCTCTGACCCAGCTCATAAATTCAGCTTTAAGCGTCAAAATGGCCTGCATTTAATTTTCTATGGGAATTTAGCTTTTCAAGATACCAGTTTATCCTCCTTTAGAGCTGCTGATTCCCTCCCCTGTTCCCACGTTGCAGTAATCAGGTGAAAAGAAGGGAAATGTTTCCACAGAGGAAAAGTTAATTGCTCTTTCACAGATAAGGGAGAGTCTGGGACAGTGGAAAAATGTACATGATCTTCATGCTGATGTGTAAAACCAATGACAATTCTCTTGCTGCAGAAAATTTAGCAGATAATTCAGCCACTTGTAAACAGAGAGCCATAATTAATTTCAGCTTTGGTCACAGGACCTTGGTAAAGCAGAAAGTGCTGACATCCTTTGGCATAGGCTAGCTGATGGGAAATCCACAATTTTATATTTAAGCAGATGTTTTTTAATCGCATTCATGCCTGTTTTTAAAGATGTTTCCTTTAAGGGGTGGGGGTGTGTGTGGAAAGAGTTTTGATTAGAGCAAGAGTTAAATTGCATTTGGGTAGCTGTAGGCAATCGGCATAGAAGGAACTGGGTTATCTTTCTTCCGGGTCCCCTAATCTTACAGAACATCTTGTGTACTTCTCAGTTAGTTAACCCAGCCTCAAACTTGTGCAACTATTTGTCAGTGCAGCAGATACTAGAATTTGCAGGCACTGTACTGTAACTTGTGAAGAATATTATGCAGAAAATTATCTCTATGGGGTGATGAATTTTGGAACGCCAAGTGTAGACATCCGCTAGTGTCAAACCGCTAGTATCTGGTATGTGCTAATGCTGGCACTGTTTCTCACTCAAGTGGAGCTGCAACAGTGGGAGAATGTTAGGAAATCCACAGTGTGGAGGTCATAAAGTGGAAGTAGAAACCTGGGAATCCAGCAGCATCACCTAGGGTACGTGGGAGTGACTTGCCAAGAAAGGCATTGATTGCGACAAAGGGAATGCAAAACTGTCAACTGGCTAGATCCACAGCCATGCCTGTGCTTTCCCTGTTGCACTTCACAAAGATCATTATTCTGTCTCAGTTTTTCAATCTGATGGTGTTGATGATTTCACTGGGGCAAGGAAGGTCTTCCATACCCAGCAGCGTCCTGAGCAGCCCTGCAGTAACACATCAGAGTGCATTTCAGCTGGAGATCACTGAGGGTTGGGGGGTGGGCAGGAGAGAGGTGGTGAGAATAATCACTTCAGAATAACCTGCACCTTAACATTGTCTTTGTCACACTTTCATGCACTTTGACCAAACAGAAGGTGTGGCTTTCTAAATCTCCAAAATCGTTGTATCTTTGTTGAAAGAGAGGAGAGCAGCATGGAAAGGGCGTGCTTTCGAAGATGTGGCTTGTACTCTTTGTTGGTGTAGTAGTGATATTGTGGATGTTCCATAGAAGCCTGCTCATGTCTTTTTTTATATATATATATCTCCCCAAACTCAGGTGGGGCAAAAATTCATCCCTCTGTAGAGCAACAGCCCAAGACCACCTCTCAAAAGGGGACTTATGTAGGGCATCGGGACAAGGGAAAATGTCATCAGTAGAGAGCAAGGAATGCAGAATGTGTGCTGGTTGGAGATTATTATTGGGGCTGCAGTAAGATAGATCCTGCAGTTTTACAAATGGCCTGTGCAGAGGTATACTTTGCAGTTTGGTACAAATGGCATGTGCAGAGGTATATTCTGCAGTGTGCTACTAATGTGAGCTGAAATGATTCAAGAGACTGAAAGTGCAATGGAAGAGGGGATTTGTTGGGGTTTTTTTTTTTTTTGCCTATTTATTCCCTTGAATCAGTAGTTTCTTTAATCCTTGTTTCCTGCCCTAAAACATTTCCAAGGGAGACTTGGAATGCTGAGTTTAAATAGCCATCCCCATAAGAGACTATGGGTACGGGGATTCTGACCAGACCTTTGACCCCACTGAAGCTATTGGAACTGCATGGGGTGTGAATCAGGGCCAGAACTACCAACATGACTAGTATAGCCTAGTACCAAATGCACTGAATCTAGTCTGTACTATTTAAGAAATGCTAATTACATTCCCACTAAGACCATTCCTTAAGTGTTTGCCAAAAGTGCACTCATGACAGGGCACAAGCCAACCTCTGCGTGGTGGGGTTTCAAACATAATTTCTCTGTTGGACAGGTTATTCCATTATTGCCAGCTTGTACTTTCCTCCTGCCCCTGTAGGAGACAGGATACTGGACTAGAATGGATGCCTGGTTTACTCCACTATCACTGTTCCCCTGAATTCATTACAAGATTTTGGAGAGAAGTTTTATTTTAAAATTGTAACCATGACCTGTTCCAAGTTAAATTAGAAATAACACTTACACTATGGTTTGACACAACACATGCTTTAAAAACACAGATTTATTGATGTTCCTCTTTAAAAAGATGGTAACTGATGGAAGATGCTTTTTAAAAAATTCAGGTTACTATATTGCAACACCTTGGTTCTCACTGTGCAAGATCCAATACGTTCTGTTGTCTGTGACATGATTCCCCCCCCCCCCCCAAAACAACAACAACAAAGTTTTAATTTGCTTTATCTCATTTAACTAGTAATAAATTATATGAAAACCATAATTGTAGGGAAGTCTCTTTTTAATTGAAGCCTTATTGGTTGTTGATGGGTCTTGAATGCAAACTAGAGTCACAAATGGCTGGTTCATCTCTACTGCGTTAACTCTGGCTGGCTGGGAGTTATTATTGAAATTAGTGGGTAAGTACTGTGTGGAAGAGTTAGATATCATTTATTACATGATTTACTTAGAACTAGAGACTTAATATATTCAGCTGATCTTAGATCCTGTTGCTTTTATCAGACTTGATTGTTGCTAAATTCTCTAATAAGCCATATCAAGTATAAAATTGCCTATACAAATATAATACAAATGCTATGGCTTCATGAGTTTAGTAAGACACTTGAAGATGTTCTTTTAAGACAATTGGAAATTCTCCCCACAGCCTGTATTTCACATCTGGTACCATTTTATTCCTAAAGAGCTAGTTCTGGTTTCTGATATGTGTTTTGCCACATATTGCAAACAAAGCAGTTGTTGTTTTCAAATGAACTGAGTATTTAAACAGACAAAACTCTCTTTTGATTGTGGATTTTTTTTTAAATGGGGGTGGGGATAGTCCAGGTGCTCTGATGGGCACAGTATATAAAAAGTTATTGGAATGTATTATATATTCAAAAAAAAATTTGATTTGTGACAAGCTGTTCTTGTCAGAACTATAACTTATGTGTCTGGATGCCTACTGTCTTGTTAAATGCTTCTGACTTTCCAGGCTTGTGGATTTGTTTTTTTTTTAATATCGATAGAAGGAATTGATGCAACAGAATACCAATTCTTTAATTCATAATAGAGTTTTTGGTGTACTTTTTTCGCTGCTCATTTGCCCACCCCTTTGCATAAGCGCTTGGTTTTCAAGTAATGACATTGTTGGAATCTAGTGAGTCTTGAAACAGAATATATTTATAAAGAACCAACCTGCCATTGCAAAAGTGCCAGTGGCATTATGCAGCCAATTAAAGGCAATAGGATTAGAGGATCATTCAGTGATAAAATATTAAAGAAAACAGAGGAGTCCTATGCATATAAGACAATAGTTGTTAGAAAAGACCAGTGCATTCAAATAGCGTTTAAGAAGTGTTTTTAAATCAAAGGAACATATTTCCGAGCAGGTAGAGGGAAGTTACGAGAACTTATTATCTCTCTTCTTTCAAATGCATGGTCTTTTTCCCCCCCAAAACATCTCCTTTTGTCTGCCCTTGGCTATTTTTTAATATTCTAATATTGTAAAAGTATTCTAAGGAAGTCTGTATGAAAGACATTACTGTGTGTGTGATGAAAAGCAAGGGCATCTGAGAGGCTGATGGAATGGGCGGGGAAGCCTATTAAGTGAAAGACTAATGATTATTTTTTTTTAGTTAATTTTGGCCACTGATGCAGAAGACACCCAGAGCCATGTTGCTGCAGCAATCACGGTATTGACAAGGACAATCCTGTCGCTTGAGAAAAGGGTACTTTTCAATTTAGTGCACTTTGTTTCTGATTTAAATCTCCGAGTTCAGGGAACAATACAATAAGTTTTTGTAACAGAAGAAAGTAGTATTGTCTAGCAAGATTGCCACAAGAGCAAGCCAGGCACTGAGACCTGGATTTTAATCCTGATTCTGCAATGTATGTGACCTTAGGCAAGCCTCTCTGCATATCACGTACCCTAGTCTCTATGCACAGTATCAAATCACTTAGCTACTTATTGCCTCAATTTCCCCATCTGCAACATGGGCTAACACCTGCCCACTTCACAGAGGTACTGTGAGGCTTAATGCATTCGTGTTTGAAAAGCACTGAGATAATCCAGTAGGACACTGCTATTTATGAATAACGTCTGAGCAGTAAGAGGGTACTTGAGGGCAGAGTAGTAGGATGTAGAGAACCTTTAATAAAACCATCAAAATAATTTGTTTTATTGTCCACTTTTCATGTAGTGTTTTATAACAGGTCTGGCAGAAGTAAACGGAATACCCTGTTAGTATGGGGAATTAATCCCACTAACAACATTGCCGTGAACAAAGGTATATACAAAGTTTCAAAGTAACGGTTTTGTTGCCGTTACTGTTTTAAATACAGATATAAAATAGAGAACAATACTGGTTTACACAACTTCCTGAGAAATATTTGGTAATGCTGCTGGTTGCAGTTCAGACACTTTGGTAGCTAGCTCAGCATTCAGGACCTCTTCTTCTTTATTTTCCTGAAAATAAGGACTGGAGCGATCCTCCTGACATATTGTCTGACCATTATTTGTGTATGGATCTTTGGTTTGAAGTAACGGGAAATGCTTGAGAGTCAAACATGGCTCTGTGGGTAGCTGTTGCTGGACATATAACCCGTAGCGTTTCCTTCTGTTCAGTTTATAGATACGCAGCCTTTCTTCCTCAGCAGCAGGATCTTCAAGAATCCCATCCCACCGAAGGCTTTCATTGATCTGATCAGAAATGTCCTGCTCTGTTTGGGTAGAGCCTGAAGTATTGGAAGCTGATAATAAAAACGTATTTATTTCTGCATCAATGTGAATCCCCTTTACAGCATTTTGTGCTGGGTCAGGATCCTTCCTGACGCTTAGTATTTCAAGTAACTGAGCAGAGAGGGTCTGATGCTTCCTGCTTTTGCTGTGATGTTTATCTGGTGAAATGAGAAATAATATTAACAGAGAGCTTATACGGCATCACTGTCACCTGGGCTTTACTGTTCACAGGGTGATGAGAAAGATACAGATAAAAAATCATTAAACATAGCACAGACTCACTGTCAAGAAACCAGATTTGTTAACAAAATATCAATCACATAAAAGCTCATTGTTGAGGGGAAATATGTATTTAGCTCAATGACTGACGCCATTTATAGAACTACTGTACTCATATAAAATGTACGTAAGCAGAACTTTTAACATACTCATAACACTTTGATACCAGCATCATGCCCATTGGACCAGTATGACTATTGCGTTTTGTAAAGTAGTTGTGTGCACTTTAGTATTATGTTTTTTCCAATGTGAATGTTAAACATTTGAGTTAAAAGAATGGCCGAAACTGAAACGAGAAATTGTGGCCATTATTTGAATACCACCTCAGGCTTTTAATGCTCTACTAACCAGGGAAACGAGATAGTCCTTGTGCCAAAAAGTTTACAGTCCTAAACTAGAGAGTTTTCTTAAATCCTCCCTCAAAAAATCAGATTGAGCGTTTACCTGCTACAACTAGGATTAATTTCCGTTTTAATTTGTCTCTCCAGTTAAAGGGCTAGTGAACAGATCCTATGGAGGAAAAATGTCTCTTGCAAGCTGTGCTGGAGCTGTTTTTTAAAGTCTTGCCCCATTTAGGCCTCAGCTTCCACCAATGGTTATTCTAACTAGCTTTTGCCATTGTAATAAATTAGTCCTGCTTCCTTCTAAAGTTTAAACTTCACAAAATAGTCAGATTTTTAAAAAATCCCTGATGTTTTAGTAATGTGAGTCATGTTATTTTAATAAGATGCCTGACATAACTTTAATAGTTCTGTTTCTTTACATGATTGAAGAAAACCTCCCCTATTAAGAAGTTTTGAAATAAACCCTCACTCTGTTGGTGTATTAGCAAGCCAAATACTGTTCATTAGAGGTCAGATAAATTTTGACTCGCATCAATTAAATGTTCAACATTCAACCAACTGTAGTTCAGCTCTGTGAAAGAAAATCAAAAATATATCCAGCTACCTCAAATCTTGCAGCAGTTTTGTGAAACTACCTACTCTCCAACAGCTGTCCTATGCCTCCTACAGTCCACATGAGGGAGCTACATGTACTTCCAATAAACCATTTGTTTAACGAAATAAAAGCAAAGGCTACAACAAAAAGTACTAACAGGCTCTAATTCTAGGGGGAGGTTCTAAAATGTTTAAGATTCCTTCTCACCAAAAGCCCAAACTTATTTCCTGGGATCTACAGCAGCCAATCTCTCTGGTTTTTGTTTTTTTTTACTATGACTGTACAGTAGTGAAAAAGGATGTCTAATTATCCCAGTATAATAGTAGTTTTCTACACTATGAACAGGTAGGTAAATAAAGCCAATCTCAACTCAAGACTGTGTGTGGTTCTATATTTATAGCTACCCATTCCAAAATATTACACACGCTCTGTGACGTTCCCCGAGGGTTATCTGGACCGGTGATCTGCTAGGTCACTCCAATCCTCGACTCTTGGAGCCAGACTTCCCTGCTCTGCTGTGAGAACCCCCACTCCTGGGCTGTTCACGCACAGCCTCTGGCATGTAAGCTGCTTGGATTGTGCAACTGAATGACTAGCCAATATCTCTGGTCCCAGACACAACCCTATGAACCTCTGTCTTGCAGTGTCCAGTTATGCCCGCTGAATGCTGCACGCTTATATGAGTTTGTCAATTTAACAAAGAAATTGATATGTACCAGGCTTGTTCTCCCAAGGGGAGTTTCTGACATGCTTCAAACCAAACTCACGCTTCAGGTAGAATAAACAAATTTATTAACTACAAAGATAGATTTTAAGTGATTATAAGTCAAAGCATAACAAGTCAGATTTGGTCAGATGAAATAAGATCAGCTTAGAATGTATTTTGCTTTTAACACTTTCAGTGCCCTCATAAACTTAGATGCTTTTCACCACAGGCTGGCTGGTTGCCCTTCAGCCAGGCTTTCACCTTTGATCAGTGCTTCAGTTGCTTGGTGTGGTGGTGTCTGTAGATGGAGGTGGAAGAGAGAGGAAGAGCATGGCAAAAGGAAGGGGGTGACTCACTTGAGAGTCCAACAGATCCTTTGTTGCTGCCTAGGCTAGTGTCCTTTGTTCCTGTGAGGCTGGGCTGGGTTTGTCCAATACATGCCCTGATGAGGTGTGAACTGCCCCTTGGTTCCTGGACAGTTTTGCCTGGGCTTGTTTTAAGCCATGAGGACACATTTTCAGCCTCATAACTATATACATTAAATTACAACCTATAACATTACTATAACAACAATGCTCAGTGCATCATGAGCCTTCCGAAGACACCAGACATGACAAACTTTGCATTGGGTACCACACAATCATAAGGATGAACATGGGGGTGTAGGGTGTTCCTCCGAAGTACAGAGCATCACACCCTCCAACACACACACGGGTATAGCAGGCAATCTGTACGTATGCTGGCTGATCAATACACACAATCAGTAATTATACCCATAACCTCTAAAGGTGATAACGCACTTCCCTCACTAACAGCAGGGACAGCAAAGTGGAGACAGATTTGATTCTCCACTACCTTACCCTTTGTGTGGTCATGTGCACCAGGCAAAGGGCATAAAACTGCCATTCTCATTTGGTAGCATGTTCCATATACTGCGCTGGTGTAAGTGATGGTCCAAGGCACTGGAGCATTGGGCCCCCTGGAGCTAGCGATATGTTATGCAAAAGCCAACCTGACCATAGCCAGAAGCAGTGTGGCCTTTGAGAAGTGACAGCTGCTTTCCACCATGCACACCTGCCTCCCATTCACTCCTTGCAGGCTGTGCCCCCATCCTCCAGGTGCTGTGCCCACTGGCACCTATTGCTATAACACAGCATTGCTAACCTGTCTCCTCAGAGGCGGAGGGGCTGCTGCCATGCCCGCTGCTCCTGGTGTTACTGTCATCCTGGTCTGCTTTCTTTTTCTTCTTCTTCGGCTTCTTCTTGCCTGTGGCCTGTGGTAGGGGTGAGGATGGCGTAGGGGTTAGGATCCCCTTACCTGGCTGCTTGCTGCTGGCCTTGCCTTTCTCCTTGCCAAGCAGCAATTCCTGCACCCCCTTGCATCCTGGACTCTCCTGCATGGGGCACACCCTGGCTCTCACTGAGCTACTGCTGAGCCTGCAAATAGGGGGAAAGACTTGTTGAAGGGCCTTTCGGTGCCCCCTTCATCTGCTGCAAAGTCCACCATCTTCCTAGCGCAGGGCCCACACATCCCCCACAGTCCACCTCCTTCCGCATCACCCTTCCCCCAAGCCTCCAAGTCTTTCCCCCTGCGTCTTACTCCTCAGAGCCCCCAGGACCGGACTCCAGAGCCCCCCGAGTCCTCTGTCCCCCCAGTCCCTGCCCCCTTGATCACACACTAGTGAGCTGTCATCTATCTCTGCCCCCAGTCCATGTCCCTCGGGCCCCTACTCCCCAGACATCTGCCCCCAGAGATCCCTGTTCTCCCCAGGCCCTACCCCCTGGATTCAACTCCCCAGAGAGCCCCCCACTCCCCAGAGTCCCTCCCCCGCCCCTATTCTCCAGAGAGACCCAGAGACTCTGTCCCTGCCCCCGACCCCTACTCCCCATAGCCCCCGGTCCCTGCTGGCCCCTACTCTCCAGACCCCTAGTCCTGCCCCCACCGCCCCTCCCCCCGGGGCCGGAGGTCACCTTCCCCCCGGAGCCGCCGACGCCGCCGCCTCTCTCTAGGGCCCGGCCCGCGCCGCCGACCCCCCCCCCCCACGACGCGTCTCCATGGCAGTGACTCAGCACCAGCACCCGCGCCCTGCGCAAGAACAAATAGTCCGCGTGTTCCCCGCCTCGAGGGCCGGGCACCGCCCCGAGCCCGCGCGGCAGACGGGGGGAGGGCGGCAGCTGCTCGTCAACGGGCTGTTCCGTCTCCAAGGCGACGGGCCTGCCGCCCCGTACACCCCAGGGGCCCGGATCGGGGCCCTCCGCCCGCCAGCCCTAAGGGGGGGTGACCCGCGCCAGAGCCCATTGCGCCGCTGAGGGCGAGCCTGGCAGAGCTGCCTTGTCCCCGCTGTGAGGCGGAGGTCACTTGTCTCTCTTTGGGGGGGGGGCAGCGGCAGCCCCTAGCCCGAGGCCCCCCGGGGCCACAGGGGCTCCCGGCAGGAGACATAGCCCCGCAAGGGACTGACACTGAGGTAGGACTAACTTAGCATTGGGGCCGGTAAGGAGCTCGCCAAGAAGGGCCTTTGCGCCAATCCCTCCTTACCCCTCACAGGGGTGAGCTCTCTGCTGGCCAGTGGTAGTGACTCTGCAGGCGGTAAAGGGGAGCCGTCATTACACTGCTGCAGCCAGGCAGACCTAGCGGAAAGGTATCGAGGTTTTTCTTTTCGCCCTACTCCCGAGGGATGATGCTCAAACACGGTCATGACTCTTGCTACAAGGAGTTCCTAGACCCCGGGGGTGGGCCTGGTGGAAGAACCTGAACAGAGTAACTGCTGGAGGCCCTGATCCTGCAGAGATTTGCACCTGGGCTTCATTTGATGCCCTGTGAGTGTGTAAAGTTCACCACATGCTCATACGGGGTGTAAATTGAAGCCGGTGCCTAAGTCTTTGCAGGATCAGGGACTAACTAACTCTGTTACTATAGCTGGCTGCCTGTCACCCTGCCGCTACTTGTCCCTTTTGCAAAGGTCTCCCACAGCCTTTGGCCAATCCCCTGGTGTTTGAAACCTTTTATGCCGGTTACAAAAATCATGATTCTGTTTTCATATACCCGAGTTAGTTAAACCTCAGCCTCTCAACAGCTGCCACACTCCCTTGCCCTGTAGTGACCCTGTAGCTCTGCTTCCCTGAGCCCCATCATTCCCTTCACCAACTAGGACTCTTGCTACACAAATTCCCCTCCAGGGCTCTTGGGCTAAGGTCCTCCTGGTCCATGTAGTCATAGTGTCCAAGCATGAATGCTGGAGGCAATCCTAGCAGATTTATAGTGACCAGGGGCAGGCTTGGTAGGCTTTCAGGCACTCGCTCTCTCCTATATGTGGCCTGCTTGTTCCTCTGCTGCTAACAGGCGCTTTGGGAAGGCTGTTTTGTCTCCCCTCTGCTGAGTCATTGGTTGGATGGGAGGGAGGGGAAGAGTCTGTTTGCAGCAGCCTGTCAGCAAGAGGGATGATTTATGCAATGTGGAGAAGTCCGGAGGCGACACAAGTTGCCATGTGAGCCAGAAATTCATCTCCATAAAGGTCTGTAAATGATGCATGATTCCTGATGTCCTAACAGAGTAAATGATCCGCCTGTCTATAACTCATGGATTTTCTCCCTAAGCATCCCGGTCTAAGCCATATGAATTTAGGGCTTACTCAGTTTTCTCTTCCCTCACAAATACGAGTAGAATTGGACCAATAATCATGTGTTGCAATGATGTGTTTAGTGCACTGTTACTGTATTTTGAACTAGGCTTTCTCTGCCTCAGTTTCTTCAGCTGTCAAAAGAAGATAATAAATCCCTTGTCTTCTGGGGGAAAGGGGAGGGATGAAGGGGCTTGTGGGGGGCTTAGTTAACTAATGTGTATGCTGGCAGGCACTGTGTGTTGGTCCCTAGCAGCTGGAAAGTGACAGAAGTGTTTCCCAGTCACTCTTGGAGCACTCAGCAGGAGGGGCTGAAGCATTGCTAGTGTTACAAGGGGGAGGTATTGTCAGTACTAGACAGCAGTGTGTTAGCAGGGTATTGGAGCCAGAGACAGAGTCCACTCAGTGAGTCAGTGGCAGAGGTGGAAAGAGAAGTGCTGATGGCCAGCCAGCCCTGTTCTCAGTCCACTACTCCAACCTCACAGGGGTTAGCGGGAGGTGGGAGGTGGGGCCTATTAGGGAATGACTCCTATGCAGTTTTGCCAGTTCTCACCATGTTATCACGACTCTCACGATGTGGGTTTTTTTTTTTTGTCTTACCTGTCTCCTGAAAACCTGCTGAAAAGCACTTTCTCCTGTTATTGTCAAAGGGGCTGACACTAGCAAGATGGTCGCTATTTCACTGCAGTCTAGCCACATATGGAAGTCAGGCTGCCCTTAATAAAGCTACAAGGAGTCTGGTGGCACCTTAAAGACTAACAGATTTATTTGGGCATAAGCTTTCGTGAGTAAAAACCTCACTTCTTCGGATGCATCACTTCGGAAGTGAGGTTTTTACTCACGAAAGCTTATGCCCAAATAAATCTGTTAGTCTTTAAGGTGCCACCAGACTCCTTGTTGTTTTTGTAGATACAGACTAACACGGCTACCTCCTGATACTTAATAAAGCTGGCTGTCTCCTCCCCCTATTTTCAGTAAGACTAAAGCTAGCCTACAGGCAAAATGGGTGCCGCTCCATGGCTCGGGGGACTGGATGCAGGAGCTGGGAGGAGCAGCGGGGACACTATGAAAAGAGGGCAGGGAGAGTGAGGGAGGAACATGAGGCAGATTTATGGGGTGTAGAGGAGGGAGACTAAGGAGGGTGCTGAGTGTTCAGTTGGCAGCTGAGGGAGGGAAGGGGAGTTCCCTGTGGGCAGCCATTGTTGCTGTGTTGCCAAGTCTTCCAGGCTGGCTGCAGGCCATGGGATTTTGTCACCAGCAGGAGGAGCTGTTGTGATGAGTTTTTCCGTTCCTGCAGATTGCAGTGTTGGGTATGTGGGCACTGGGCAGAGCTCTGCGTGAGAGCCTGGGGGGCCTAAGGAAATAGACCTGCCCTGCCACTGATCACTCCCTTTATGTATGATCCTAGAGCAGAGAGGGGTCTGGGGCAATGGGAGCTGGGGACTTGGCGCTGCTGGGACTCAGGGAGAGGTGAACCCCCAGGTGGTACAGTCAGGGAAGTGCTGCTACTGACTTCTAGGTAGAGATGTCCCTGGTCAGCAGGAGGCAGAGAAATGTTGCTGCTGGGGCAAGAGAGTCACAGGGAATGGCTGGCAGTTCCCCTCCCTTAGAGCTGAGAAGGGTCAGTAGAGACTGTCTGAGCAGCCAGGGTTAGGCAGGCATTTCTGTGTGCATTAAATGTTGACTTTTCAACCAGAAATTCCCATACACCCATTGGCAGGAGAGTAGAGGGGAGTTAAAGATAAAAGACAGACTGAAAAACATGATTGAAAAAAAAATCATATTTTGTGTTCAGTGTTATTATTTTGGGTGCCAGACTCACCCAATACTGCCTATGCCTAGAATTTCTCTTCTTCCCTCCTATTTCAAAGCAAAGGGTTTCAGTAATGGTTCATGAAGTGAGGGAAGAAGCATGTAGCACAGCTAAGCAAATAAACATGAGATGTTTTTGTGATGGGGATGCTTGTACCTTAGGAACAGGACTGAGACCACATTCCAGCCATCAGCCAGTGATGGTCAAAACTCTGCCTGCTTCAGGGACTGCTGGCAGGCTCTGCATCCCTCCTTATTATTGAGCAAGCAGCAGCACTGCCATTGCATGAGGCATGTAGAACTGGCCTGGGCTGTCTCCTTTGCAAGGAGATCCCTTTAGCAGCACTGGCATGTGGGGGAAACCAGCAACACTGGGCCCAGTCTCCCTCCTTGGGAGGGACTTGAAAGTAGATTTCCAGCCGATGAAGCACTTTACAACAGGTTCCAATTAACAGGCAAAGTCGCCATGTCCCTTCTTTTCAAGTGTCCCATCTTTGAGAAAACCAAGCCAGTAAGGTAGCCTGTGACCAACTCAGCCAGCGCCGGCGTAAGTGGGCCATGGCTCAGCTCCGCATGTAATGTCCAGTGCTGACACTGCTGCATGCATGCACCCTGCAAGTGGGTGAGGGTTGGCCCAGGGCTGCAATCTGCATGCACCTCGTAACGCTCTTGCAGCAGTGTGTGACCCCTGGGCCCGCCTCTGCACGCACGATGACAGCTAACGCCTGGGCTCGGGCTCCCAGCTCTGCACAACCCTGGGGCTGCCTCCTGCTGGGATACTCTGATTGGCTGGGCAGGAGCCGGGGCTGGCGCGAGCTCGCTGCTTCTCGGCTCCTGGTTCCTTGCAGTTGTCGCTAGAGGGCAACGAGGGTGCATGGAAGGGGAGTAGCAACCAACGTGTGTGCACGGTAAGAGGGTCGGGGAACGTGGTTACTTGTAGCCGCCTCCAGCCTTCAATTAAGCAATCAGTG